TTACCAAGCTACGAAAGCCGTTGTCAACTTATCGACCTAGAACTTCTCCGGACTAGAAGAGACACAAACAGAGCCCTTACCGTGGCCGATATCCTACAAGGAAGGACAGATTGTGAGGCTATCCTGAGGCAAATTGACCTGAATGTTCAACCCCGACCGCTTCGTAATAACCTTATGCTAAGACTGCCTCTACGTCGCACAAATTATGGAGCGTACGGTGCGATTAGCGGACTGCAGAGAACATTCAACAGAGTTGCATCTGTTTTCGACTTTCATCTCTCCCGCGATGCGCTTCGTCGAAAGTTTTCTTCTGTTTTTCGCCGGCAGGAGTTAAGATATTGACTATAAGATATACGTTTTTTAATGTTTTTTTATGTTATGACCATGCTTGAATGTATTTTTTTTTTACCATAGTTGATAAGGTTTAAATCATTGGGGCTTCATCCAGCCTGTTGATGTAAATAAATAAAATAACAAAATAAAATTATTGAAATTGGACCAGAGGTATAGCTGAGTTATTAACGTTCAAAATCTTTCTTAATTTGTTACATGTTCCATTTTCGGTTTTCACAAAGTGTACCTCCATATAGAAATCAAAGACGTAGTCCTACGTCAATATTGGAGGGGAGGTTATTTTTCATTACAGGAAAGCTAATTTAAAATCATGGTTTTTAGCTCAATAAAAACTTTTATACATGGTGAGTTTTGGATCAAGTTCGGTTCTGGTCACTTCCCCAGGGGCATCCGGAAAATGCACGGAAGTGGCTAATGTGGTCATACACACTTAGATTTTTTTGCCGAGATGGGCACCACCGAGCAGCTCGGCATTTTATTTTGCTGGAAATTCAGCAAAAAATATGTTTGTTAGCTGAGATCTCGGCAAAATTCCCGTTTGTTAGCTGAATCTCGGCAAGTTTTTCACTGAGATCCAGCAAAATAAAATGCCGAGCTGCTCGGTGGTGCCCATCTCGGCGAAAAAATCTAAGTGTGTAGATACTTAATATGGACGCCATTGATCTTGTTGTTGAATTTTGGTGTATTTTGATGTGTCGGTTTCGTTCAGGTCATCTTCTCTGTTGGCAGCGTTTAGATTTTTCCCCGCACGACCACAAATAGGATTGGGTATTGGTACTGCACAGCAAAAAAAAATGTAATATCGATCAATGTAATTCAAGCTGATGTATGAAACAATGATGTAATAGCAAAAAGCAGATACAATATTACATCGTACAACGTTATATTACACAACCGATGGATTGACCTGGTTGCAGCAGTTTGGATGTAATATTCAACAACTTTTTTTTCTGTGTGGTAACATAATTCACAACTTTTGTATCGACCATACTGAAATACAGTTTTGGAACAACTGGAAGCTCGATACCATTTGATCGGTATATGTTTGGATTCAGCAGACCGATTTGCCTTTCCATATGCTCAACTTATTGTGACGTTAATTGTGCATTTTCTTTGACAAACAGTAATTTTCATGGGCGACATAAAGTAACTGATGATGGTAGAGTATTGACCCAAACTATTTCCTTCGTTGCTGACCCTGTTTTCTTTGCTACTATACGCAGAGGGGTCCAGAATACGAATATGTGCGAATCACTATACTCCTTAACTTCACCGTCTTTGAGCTTTTCACTTAAACCTTGCTTATATTTGGCGTGATTACTGCTGCCATCACACACCCACTTGTAGATAACGGCTAGTTCATAGCTACCATAGAGCTATTGCAGTTTTTCAACAGGAACCTGACTGCTTATTAAGCGGGTCGTAGTGTGGTCCAGAAGTTCTTGAAGCCTAACTACTGCCACGGATGGCGAAATCGATATTCCTGTATAAGGCATAAGTGTAATTACAGTTTTAGTTCATCCTATATAGTCCCTTTTTAAATTTACCAGATGAATAATACATTTCCTTTGCTTCGAGAATTTTTCCATACGCTGGATACATATCTGCGCCGTTTTGAAGAATACTAAGCCGAATACTCGTGTATTGCGCTTTCGAGAAATTATGTTTACATATAAACGCAAGATCTTCTTCTGGACGTATTCCCCAGAAGAAGCTCTTGCGTTTATATGCAAACATAATTAGATTTTGGTTTCTGAGGTTTCCATTGAACTTGGTGCTTTCATGATGTTCTCTACAGTCTCAAATATCATCAAGCTTAATACCTGGCGGTTCAACACTAGATGCTGCGGTAAACATCAGTTCCTTTGGAGAAAAATGCTCTTGCAATTCACGCGCGCTATTTGTGCAGAACAGATTTTTTCAAATATTCCCCAATGACGGCTGCTTTTCCTCCACCAATTGTTGAAGTTGGCAATGAAATCTTTTATTTTTCGCTTCCGTGATATTCAACACACTACCAGATATTTTTTTTGTACATGATCCAACAGCTCGGTCACAACTTTCCCGTCCATTGAAAGGTAAACCAGCTCCTTGTTTACAATGAATATTTCTGTAAATACTTATGACTAATAAAAGTCCTACCATACTTGTGAAAATACACTTACTTTCCGTCATCTTCGAAAACCTAAAGATTCAGCGCGTGCAGTTTTCTTGTAAAATACTGAATAATGAAAACTTCGACTGATTCACAACTGGCGAAATTAGAGAATATCGATACTACAAGCATAGAGGTAACTCTAAGACTAGAAGGTCCCGAAGAAAATCATTAATATTTTTGGCTCACTCAGTACCAGAACAACGGTCCCAAGCAGTCCCAAGCTATTTCACTCACCCCTGCATGTTCTGCATGAATCCACACACCCCTGATGTTATCTGTCAAACTTTCATAGCGAATCAAAATAAACATAGTATAGTAATAGAATTTCAACTAGAATAGGGTACGTTAATCGTTTGCTTGGGACCAATAGGCTACTAAAGTGGTGAGCCAATTTAAAATCGTTAGTTTCGTATTGATTGTTGCTACAAGGCTGGATAGTAGAGATTCGATAGAAATTCGCTTCATCAGATTATTTTCGGTTAACGATCCGCAGTATTGAAGATCTTGAATAGTTCTGATCATAATGTCAGTTTTGATACTCTCCGAACCAACTAAATCCAAATGCATAGATAACTTCGTTCAAAAATAGTGTCAGGTTTTGAACGCTTATAAACCAATTATGGATGGATTTCGAATCTTATTACACCACTTGATTAAAATTTAATGTAAGATTCGTTTGGTGTAAATATTATAGTTTTTTTTTATCAATAGTAAACTATTGAAAATTGATCAACTATTTTTACAATAATCAACCATTGTGCTCGCTTGCTCTCGCACTTGCTATGACTATCAGTCAGATTGCCGATAGTGAGGTTATAAAAGAGCGCACCTGTAATTTGTTGTGTTAGTTCATCTGCGGATGTATTAACGCAAGAGAAAGTCAGTGAAGCGAATCGATCAAAGGAGATCGAGCCTTTTAAAATGTTCATCGAGATTTGGCTTATAGTTTTTACACGCCCGTTCAAAATTACCCAAAAATGTGTAGCATAGGATGAATTATTTTTGGGATAAACAAGGGGAATCCAAAAATACGTTAAAGCTTTACCAACAATAAGGTAATAACTTACTTAAAATTAATTAATGAGTCGAATTTTTTGCGTGTGCAACAGCTTGGACCTCCGGACGTTCGGAACAAATTGGTTGGTGGTAGAATCAATATCTGCCAGTTGATTTGTATCATGCAGCCAGAGATCCACCCCAAACTACGGGATGCTCACTATGCCCCTCCTCCCCCTATTCTTATAAAAAAAACAATCTTGTCAATACATCACCACAAAACGATGTTTTGCATTTTTTTACGACTTCGATTCGGATAGAAGTTTCTAGAATGCTGTACCAACAATCAATACGAAACTAACGATTTTAAATTGGCTCACCACTTTAGTAGCCTATTGGTCCCAAGCAAACGATTAACGTACCCTATTCTAGTTGAAATTCTATTACTACACTATGTTTGTTTTGATTCGCTATGAAAGTTTGACAGATAACATCAGGGGTGTGTGGATTCATGCAGAACATGCAGGGGTGAGTGAAATAGCTTGGGACTGCTTGGGACCGTTGTTCTGGTACTGAGTGAGCCAAAAATAATAATGATTTTCTTCGGGACCCAGTGGTCTTCGAGTTACCTCTATGGGAGTACCGTGCGTTGATTCATGGTGAGATTGAATTGAAATGTTTTCATTTTTAAGATATATTGAGGCACACTTGTCTCGGGTGACCTTCTTGCTCCTAGTTCCCCTACCTCGGTAATACTGTACCAGGAAGGCAACTTCAAAACGTTGTTCTGTAGCAGCGCCGGTGGTGTAGTGGTAAACGCGATTACCACTCACCCCAGCAGGCCTGGGTTCAATCCCAGTCGGCGCCGCCGGGATGTTCTTAGGCATAGCATCTCTGATCACGCCTTCCTTCGGAAGGTAAGTAAAGCCGTTGGTCTCCGGTTCATGAGTTGATGAGTCGATAGATAGGGTCCAGGTGTGGGAGCTGCCTGCCTGGCGTCGGTAGCATTAGTGCTCAGCACGGAAAACAAGATCGACGGCAAACAAATCAACGGAAAAAAAAACTTTGTTCTGAATCCTTTGAAGTGCTTTTTCCTGGTAGTGCAACTACTAGACCATATAGGCACAGCATAAAGCATGGCCGGTCTAAAACTTGTTTAAAGTGTGTAGAAGTTTATTCTTCAGGCAAAGTTTGGATTTCCTGTTTATAAGAGGAGGATGTTCTGCATTGTTTGTTCAATCTTAGTCTCAGATTTGGGCAATAAAGAGCAATGAAAATAAAAAGATTCTATCCACTTTTCATACAAAGTTAGTTTTCCCGCAGATCCAGATCATAACCAAATACGTTTAAAATTGACACAGTTGTTGGAGACCTTAATACAGATCGAAAGAGCAGTAGGCAGCACAGCATTGTGAATTTGACGCACCCTATACCCATGCGCCACTCATCCTTCCACCAGTGGAGATTCACGAACTTAATTAGAAAATAAGTATGTAGGAAGTTTGATATAATAATCTTTATTTCTTTAGATAATTCAAAACGCCATACGATTATTTACTTGTAGAACTCATGTTCGGTTTCATCCTTCTTGATATTATTTTTGTAGCCCTTCTCAAAGTCCTTGGCCAAGACGATGTACCTGTAAACACATAAATATAGTTTGATAGTTGTTTGTTTTTAAATTTAGCAAACAAAAACCTGTTTTCTCGAACTGCGTGCATGCCGGCTTCCTGACAAATAGCATTGACGTCAGCTCCAGAAATTTTGTCCGGTCGAGCAACGTAATCTTCTAAATCAACATCTTCCGAAAGATTCATCCTAGCAGTAATGGTAGAGAAAATCAACCGTTTTTGCCGGCGATCAGGCAAAGGAAATTCTATCTTCCTGTCCAGGCGTCCAGGTCTCAACAGAGCGGGATCCAGAGTATCGGCACGATTGGTGGCCATGATGACCTTGACGTTCGTCGTTTGATCGAATCCGTCCATTTGGTTCAATAACTCCAGCAAAATACGTTGCACCTCTCTGTCAGCACCTGTTTGAGCATCAAACCGTTTGGTGGCAATAGCATCAATTTCATCAATGAAAATAATAGCAGGAGAATTTTCCTTAGCCAAACGGAACACATCACGCACCATTCGGGGCCCCTCTCCCAGATATTTCTGAACAAATTCAGAACCAACAACCCTGAAAAGGTAATCGACAATTATTAATATAATTTTACTTCAAAAGTTGATATTATTTCGTTGAGGATATACATCTAGTTAGTTGGTTGAATGTATGAATTATTGAAGATTACAACTCGTAATTCCGCATTCATTTAGTACCGTGGACAACCAGTTCGATTTTATTTGCAAATTAATATACCGTGTAAAGCAAAGAAATCCAGACAATTTCGGACACTTTTAAAAGTTAATTATTAATGTCTACCAAGCTCAAAATAGCACATAATTTTATGGAGGTCCTATAAACAGTATCGTCTATGTTAATCACACATATTTATTATGCTACAAAGTGGTTTGCATTAATGAATCGTCCGACATCCGGTGGACTACTATAATTAATGTTGTTAAAGATAAATCGTTTAACTCAAACCTTTGTAAAGGTTAGAGGCGGGACTATCATCATCAATTAAGAGGTGTCTAAAGAAAGCAAACGTAAAGGCAAGAGATGAGCCAGTCGTGGTATAAAAAAGTCTCCAATAAAGAAACCTCAACTATCCTAACCTGGAAGCCTGTTTGTGCACGGAGGTTTAATTATTTTTACCTGATAAAAGCTGCCGTAGTATGGTGGGCAACAGCTTTCGCCAACATAGTCTTCCCACATCCAGGAGGACCGTACATCAGTACACCTCTCGGTGGGTCAATTCCAATTTGCTTGTACAACTCAAAGTGCGTAAGGGGTAGTTCAACAGCTTCACGAATTTCTTGCTTCTGCATATCCATACCTCCAATATCTGAATACTGAACTTCCGGTTTCTCATCAGCTTGCAGCATTGAAATCGAGCTGTCTGCTTCAGGCGGCAAAACGTCCACAAGAGCATTGCTATGCTTGTGCAAAGCTACGCTAGCCGAAGGTTTTAACAGTTCTCTGTCGATGGTAGACAGGATCCTTACGTAGTAATTCGATCCAGTTGTTGATCCAACGATTCCATTGTTTTGATCAACCGCCTCCAAGAATTGTCCTATCACCAAAGGCACTGACTGAATACGCTTAACCTCTTCCTGGGCATGTAGATACTCCTTCTTTAGGTTCCGTTGTTCGTCTTTGATGTACTCCTCTTGGACCTCCAAAAACTCCAACATTTTTTGCAATTTCTGTTAAGTATACAATAAAGAATGTTATATGTAGTGTTTGTACGTGGTAACAGTTTCATCACTGCTATGCATATAAAATAATGAAGATTTTTTAGTTTACATATGTGATAGCTATTTATGTAATAGATAAGCAATGAAAAGGTGTAACGTTTAAAATCCGCACACACAAAATTCATTCTCGAAATTCGAGTTTTTATCCGAATATCACCAGGGAGTAAAAAGAAACAATTAAAGTTAGTTTTGGCATCATTCATTTAATTTATTTCTCGCCTTTATATCCGAATGCACGAATCTTGGCCTTAACCTCAGCCATAAGGTTCTGTACAGAATCAACCGTTTTTTGCATATTAGCCCATGTTTTCTTCATTTTTTCTACATTCTTCACCACTTTAGGCCGTTTTAGAAGGTGCTCGTTTATAATGGCCCATTATTTTTGTATTGGGCACAGTTCCGGAGTGTTTGGGGGCACAAAATCAACATCATTCGCCTTATACCACTCTAGCACGTCCTTCGTATAGTGGCATGATGCCAAATCCGGCCAGAAGATTGTCAGACCGTCGTGAGCCTTCAGGAGAGAGAGAAGCCGCTTGCGGGCACGGCTTTTTGCGACCGTATTCTGTTTCTCGTTACGGTTTGGGGTCTTCTGAACTTTAAACGTAGTCCGTCGTATGTAGTCCAGCTTGATTGTTGGTATTCTGCACTAAAGTCTTGCTCACATGCAACTTTTTATCCACATCTCGAACTGAGGCGTTCGGTTTCCGTTTAAAGACCCCAATCAAGCGTTTGTGATCGTTCTCGCTGACCTGATGGCTTTTTTCCCGGATCTTTGCTTCCCATCAACAGTCAGACGTTTTTCGAACCGTTTTATGATACCAGACACCGTGTAATTCGCGATTCCCAAATTCGAAGTGCTATTCCCAAATTCGAAGTGCTATTCCCATGTAAATATTCAAAAAATCATAGTAATTTACCTTTTTATCCTTGATTTGTTTTCCGTCGATCATGTTTTCCGTACTGAGTACCAATGCCAGCTCCCACACCTGGACCCTACCTATCGACCTATCATCTCATGAACCGGGGACCAACGGCTTTATTTACATTCCGAAGGAAGACTTGATCAGAGATTTTATGTCTCAGAAAATCCCGGCGGTGCCGACTGGGATTGAATCCAGGCCTTTTGGGGTGAGAGACAATCACGCTTACCAATACACCACCGGCGCCGCTAGTAATTTACTTGTACTTGTTTGTATCAAGCTGGAGCTGCGTTACAGTTTAGTTTTCAAAACTTGACGTATGTGAGTTAATTTTGCTTCTATCTTTCGACAATACTACTAGCTCATGTTGGCAGTTTGAACACTGGTTCTTGTGTATTGTTTTAAGATAGTTATAGAAAAAAAGCTGTGACGTGTGCGCGTAGATACATCCGCGTAGTAATCCGATTGAATAAGTAAATCCGTTAAGTAAAAAAAGCTTATTATCATTTAAAGAGTGCCACCGGTTTACTCTATGTTGACAATTTGATTAATTTTGGTTTCCTCCCTGGATATTCTACTTATTTACTACTGAGTGTTGTATCAAATTAGTTAATTTAACGGAAGTACCAATCATTTTAAGATTTCGCGACCGTACCGAATAAATTCTATACTACACTTCTGCATCATGCAACCATACCACATAGATTTTACAGTCACGTAGGGTTTAGTTCATAAATTACCTTTGACTGCTGTTTACAAATGTAAGTACTAACAAAAAGAAATAAGTTAACTCAAATGCTTTAACCGCATATATCACAGATTTCGCGTATTGAGAGAATAATATAGTAATCGTGTACAATAAACTCAGGGGAAAACAATACCTACAAAAGATTAAAAGTTGTTAATTGTCACATACCTCTAATTTTACTTATTTTCTAAACTATTCCTCTCCTTGTTAATCTGCTTAATGCTGCTGGTTTGCTTGCGTTTTCTTATTGGAGTTCAATAAATGAATTCCATACTTCTTGGCAATTTTCTTGATGACATTGTCAATGTGAAAGTTGAACTTAAGCGTGTCATCAATAATCAAGCCAAGATATTTAATCTCCCGAACGCGATCAATAGTCTCATCATCAATTACAACAGAGACGTTCTCATTTACTCGATTCCGCGAAATTACCATAAATTTAGTTTTACTTGTATTCAATTTCAACTACTTATACTTCAACCATCTACTTAGAGAACGCAAATCTTCATTCAAGTGTAAAACGACATCTTCTAAATCCTTAGCTGCAATGCATAACACAGTATCATCTGCAAAAAGATTAATGTCGCAAAATCGTAAAACACGTCGCAAGTCATTAATATACATAATAAATAACAGGGGCCCTAATGCACTTCCCTGGGGCACTCCAAGGTTATTCCCCACGGGACTGGAAACAGAATCATTAAAAACAGTCCGTTGAGTTCTGTCAGACAAATAGCTTTCAAACCATTTATATGTAGTACTCGTAATTCCAAAACGCTTGATTGATCTCAACAATAAGGGCCTAGAAATTGTTTCAAAAGCGCGTTTAAGATCCAAAAACACAGCAATAATCGTATCTTTACACTCCAAGTTATTTTTTTTATATTTATTTTTATTAATACCAAATACAACGCGGTTTCACAAGCATGACCTTCCCAATATCCCGATTGTTCTGGTATCAACAAACTATTACTATTTAAATACTCCAACAGCTGGCCTTTAACAACAAGTTCTAAAATTTTCTCTAATGTGTGCAACATGTTGATGGGACGAAACTCTTCGGCTTTAATCGTTCCAACAACTTTTTGAATAGGGACCACTAAGAATTCCTTCCAAATTTGTGACACATGTCCAGTTTGTAATGATTCATTAATAAGGTCCAGCAAGATGTGGCGAATGACATGAAAGCAATCTTGAATAACTCTAGCATTAACATTATCTACTCCAGCCGATTTTCCTAATGAAAAACAAATAACTCTAAGTTCATCTAATGTAATTGGGTGAAAAACTTCAAATCTACAACTACTATTAACTGACTGTTTTATTTCGTCAGGTTGATCGACCAATTCAATGGAATGATTAATCAATGAAACACTGTCTACAAAATAATCATTAAACTTAGCTGCAATTACTTATTCTGACTGTTCTAATGTGCCATTAAAAGTTATGGACCGCGGTTTGCAACTACTAGGTTTTAATAAAGATTTCAAAATTTTCCATAACTCTTTACTGTTGTTTTGATGCTGATCAATCTTCCTTTGAACATATTCACGACGAGTTTTCTTTATCGATTTTTTTTTCTTTTGGTTTGTTTTTTCCGTCGATCTTGTTTTCCGTGCTGAGCACCAATGCTACCGACGTGCCAGGAAGGCAGCTCCCACACCTGGACCCTACCTATCGACCCATCAACTCATGAACCGGGAACCAACGGCTTTACTTCCCATCCGAAGGAAGGCGTGATTTCTTTATCGATTGTGAATATTGATTACACGCGATTGTGTACCTATTCCAATGATTGTCATTATTTGACCTCCAAAACTTTTTAGATAATTTGTCCCTTTTCCATTTAAGACGCAAAAGATCCAAATTGTACCAGCTGTTCGAGTTTTTCAAAGAAACAAACTTTTGCTCAACTAGTTGATTGGAACACGTTTTCAAAGCGTTATTAAGAACAGCTGTAGATTCATCTAAGTTACCGGCCGCGAATGGAAAATCCACGCTCCTCTCAACAAGATTCGAAACAGCTTGCTTTGAATATTTCCTCCAGCACTTCAATTTTACAAAATTATCGTTATCGTTAACATGGTCCAAGACATTAATCACTAAGGTCTCATGATCGGTTATTTTCAAATCAGTATCCGTAACTGAACAAATGGAATCAAAATTGCAATAAACGTGGTCAATTAAAGTTCTACTGTGCCTGGAAATACGCGTATATTCATTTACCGTTTGCTTTAAATTTAAAAAAACTCAGCTAAACGCTTCAAATGATTCGAATTATGGTTATCACGCCAATTGATATTAAAATCACCAGCCAATATATTTAATTTACTAGAATCAAGGAATGTCTCGAGCCAGTTCTCTAAAACTTCAACAAAACGCTGGTCACTAGAACTGGGAGAATAATACAAAACACCATAATTACCCATCTTCATGCCACGTACAAATGTAATGCCCAAGAACCAGTTGCCATCAATAACTTCGTTGGTACGAAGGTTGAATTGAACTGATTCTTTGACATAAATAGCAACACCGCCAGTGTGTCTAGAATGTGATAAACAAGCAGCAACAATATATCCCGGAATACTATACTGATCAAAAGCTTCGTTTTCTACAATATGGGTTTCAGATAATAAAACTAAAAGAGGACGTTTTTCCTCAACAATCTGACGTAATGCTACGTAGTTTGTTGACAACTCCGCAATATTCAAATACAAAAAATCGAATTGATTCATATTCCTGGAACTTGGCTGCTAATTATTGAAACGCAAGCTGCTTTTCTTCTGATTAAAAAGTCTTCTATAGAGCAAACATTCCAAGCTAAATGCGGCATGGTTGACGTCCAAGTTCATTTTACGTTCTTTATTTATTTTCAAACAATTAATACATTTCAATACAGTTGACGAACACAGAAAAAAAATTGATGAATATTACATCCAAACTGCTGCAACCCATGCCCACTATTTTCAATGTTGGCACCGAAGTGGGAACAACAGCACTATATTTTTCACCCAGATTGCTTTCAATACCAGTTTTTACATCATTTAGATTAGCTCCTGTTGCACACTCAACAATAATAGAACCATCATTCCTAAAATTACTGATTTTGTGTGTTTTTGGATCCAACTGAGTTTTCAAAAACTTACGAGTATCTTCGCAAACTTGTTTGCTCTCTTTTGGTTTGATCACAATGACCGAACGAGTCTTACGATTACTCTTTTTGTTACTGCTACTGTTGATGTAACTGTTACTGTTACTAATATTTTTACTTTTACTTG